ATACAATTTAAAAATACAATTAAAAATTAAAAAAAAGCTGGCCGGGCCCTGAAAAAAAAAGATAATAATCATGTATGATGTATATAGTATGAAATAGAATAGTTGAATACACACCAATTTGAAATCTGCCTGACAGGGCTACTCCTCGCTGGAGTCGTAGTCCGAGTCCCTGCAATAAAAAAGATGATTATATTATTTACGTCTGACACACATACGCGTATATATATTGATTGATACATACCACTCGAAAGATGTTAATGGAGGCATCTGGAAGAGGCGCGAAAATATCTTCGCCTCCCCAATCTTCCTCTTCGAAGAGGAACCAGTCGTTGTAGCGATTGCTACCACCCCGCTGGTTCCTCTTCGCCAACATCTCTGCTATAGAGATGTATCCACGGACCTGTGGGCCGCACACCGTCGACGTCTCGCTCTGAAGCTGCTGAGTATTCTATCGGAAGGCTCGACAGTTTCGTCGGAGCCTCGATACGTGGTGATGATTCAGCGGTGGTAATCCGTAGCTGACAAAGTAGTATCCATCTCCGTCGGTGTCCACGTACATGGCAACCCAATGAAATACTTAGTGCACTAAAATAAACGTAGAAGACACTACACTCACCACGATTACGACTGTTGCTGCCATTTTTACAGGGTTGTAAAGTATCCTGAGTGCAACTGATGAGCTGCGCCGAGTTGGATGAATCGCTGCAGCTTCCCCCACTTGTACCTCCTAGGAACTAAGATCTAAACGCACACGGGAGTGGGGGCCCACTCGTTGGTCAGGGGTTCGCTGCACCAAGGACAATAAAAAAAATCTGGATGAAAGCACCCAGGTCAGCGGTACGCGTCGAGATTTATGATGAAAAATTAATTTTTCCCATACAACCGGTTACATGTTTTAACTTTCTTCCGTCTCTTCAAACTCTAAGGCTTTCCTCTTTCCCATCAGCAACTCCTCAATATTCCCCTCACTCCCCGCTCGTCCCCTCATCAGCCTCGCCACATTTGTCGGTCTTCCTCTTCTTTTTTCTTCGTACTCCTCTTTCGCGCCAATCTCGTCCGCCATTTCCACTTAATACGTCCTCCACCGGCCTTACCTACACTGCTATCCCCGTCCCTACCTTACCGGCCTTTTCCTACCTTACCTTACTCCTTTCCCTGCTATACCTACTTCTCCCGCGCCTGACACTCTCACTATCACCTAACCTCCAAAAAATTCCTCGTCCCTACTGCTACCCCCCTCACTTATCCCTCCACTCCCTTCACCAGCCTATTCTCTCACCCTACACTACTCACCCTCCTTTACACTCACACACCGCCTTCTACCTTCCTAGCACCTCCACATACACTTCCCGCACCCTTTTCCTAATCCGTATCCCACAGTCACTCTCCAGACTAGTCAGCGGAAACGGAAGTCCAAATTGCAAAATAAAAATAAAAATTTAATAAAAGAAATAAAAAATATAATTAAAAAATAGCTTACAAATTAAAGATACAATTTAAAAATACAATTAAAAAATACAATTTAAAAATACAATTAAAAATTAAAAAAAAGCTGGCCGGGCCCTGAAAAAAAAAGATAATAATCATGTATGATGTATATAGTATGAAATAGAATAGTTGAATACACACCAATTTGAAATCTGCCTGACAGGGCTACTCCTCGCTGGAGTCGTAGTCCGAGTCCCTGCAATAAAAAAGATGATTATATTATTTACGTCTGACACACATACGCGTATATATATTGATTGATACATACCACTCGAAAGATGTTAATGGAGGCATCTGGAAGAGGCGCGAAAATATCTTCGCCTCCCCAATCTTCCTCTTCGAAGAGGAACCAGTCGTTGTAGCGATTGCTACCACCCCGCTGGTTCCTCTTCGCCAACATCTCTGCTATAGAGATGTATCCACGGACCTGTGATAAAAGAGAAGAACACCTTATAATAAACCTTTGTTAAAATACTTAGTGCACTAAAATAAACGTAGAAGACACTACACTCACCACGATTACGACTGTTGCTGCCATTTTTACAGGGTTGTAAAGTATCCTGAGTGCAACTGATGAGCTGCGCCGAGTTGGATGAATCGCTGCAGCTTCCCCCACTTGTACCTCCTAGGAACTAAGATCTAAACGCACACGGGAGTGGGGGCCCACTCGTTGGTCAGGGGTTCGCTGCACCAAGGACAATAAAAAAAATCTGGATGAAAGCACCCAGGTCAGCGGTACGCGTCGAGATTTATGATGAAAAATTAATTTTTCCCATACAACCGGTTACATGTTTTAAGATATGTTATAACCCCATTATTTAAAAAAAAAGACGGTATGTATAACAGCGATAAATTTACGCCCGCTTTTATTTTATTTATAAAAATCATATATTTGACACCCTTTACTCTTGTTTCTAATCACCACCGTAGCATCATCGTCATCGACATCACCACCATTGACCATAACAGACAGCCATAAGGGATTGGACTGGTAAGTGTGATAATTTTAAGACTACACTGGTTTTTTATTTGGTTTAAACAGCTTTATTAAAAACACTGACATTTTTACAGATTGTGGCGCCGAGAAGACCGGACACGCCACCCTTCGGAATCGAGGGGGCCATGGTAGAGGTATCGTTTAGGAGAAGATATCCAGCACACTCCGCTTTATTCTCTTACTAGCGACCCTACGACGATTGTTGGGTTTCTTGGTTTTTGACTTTATTTTTTTACTATTTTTTTTTTGACGCGGCGCAGGCTTCTTTCCCGTACGTCTCTTACGCTTGTTAGCGGCTCTTGAGGCAATACTCCTTCCAGCGACGCCGGTGATAGAGACATCGGTGTAAACAAAAAGCATCTTAGGTAGGGCGTTGATCAGGCTAATCGGCTGATCGGCTATCACAACGGGCTTCGCTTTCGATACCACGACCGACTCGGTAAAACCCAGGATGCGTGCCAGAGAGCGGCAGAGTCTCAGCTCGTGCGGATCATCTACATCGTTATCGGTAGAGACGAACGATACGCTCGCGTAACCGTCTCTACAGAGCTCTAATTTCAGACGGCCCTTCATAGCCCTGGTAGCGTTTATTTCGTCGAGTGTCTTTACGTCGTCATAAACACCGTGGGCCACGTTAGAACCCGCCATCATAAGACCCACTATCGGTTCTTTGTGGTTCTTCTGCGGTTTGTTGCGGGTGGTGACCACACCCACGTGATCCCAGTCTTTTAGCGGCGCGGGCACGTGAAGAAAGGTCATAGGGATCTGTATTTCGACCAGAGCAACAGCCCATACCCCGTGTAAATCGATCTGATGCGGTAGATG